GCATGTTAGCCTTATTTGCTTTTCACATTTTTTAATTTTTACTGAGTATGTATTAACACCTCATCTCACAGCACATCCACCTTAAGTAAACTAACTAAATAATGCACACCGATATCGAACACACCATTACACTACTTAGTGGATTACTTCGCTCATTTCTCTATACGTTAATGCTCTTTGCATGTTACTTTTTCTATTTCAAAGAATGTCCTCAATTCATAATTTTTATCAGCAGCCCATATTTTAAAATTCATATTAAATGACATTTTACGAGTAATTTTGTCAACATTAACGGTAGCTGCTTTCTTGTCGTCGTAAATATAACAATTCCGATATTTTCTTACAATGCTTCAAATTTTCTTTTAGCAAGTTCTTTTAACACATGCAATGACTAATGTTCTTTCACCCAAATTTTCTTTTAATCCTGACAACCTCGTGATTGTTTTTGAAATTGAACAAAAAATTTGAAAAAGCTTTGCAATCATTTATTGAACATTCCATTTTATAATTCTATAGGAGTTCAGGTACTGTCAGAGTAGACTCATGGTTTATTATCTTGCTACCCTATTGTCTCTTCGTGTTTATTGCATGCCTCGCTAGGAGTTTCTCACTGCATTTGTAACTTGTATTTTATCAATTGACTAATATAATAGTCAGGCTAGTTTAGTTAGCATTTAAATTAGCCCCTAGCCATTGGAATAGCTAAAGTGTACTAAGATATTAACAATTAGCGCACTTAGTTATTGTTTGGTTCATAGGAGTCAAATCTGAGGGCTCGTTTTATAATTGAAATCTATTACAAGTAGATTTTTTGCTTCACGTATTTATTATTTTTTTAGATTCTCCTAAAAGATCTTGAAGGAGAAGTGCGAGCTGCAGCAGCAAGTCAATTAAAAACTTTTACGACTAGTCTTTCTCCGGAGTCCAGAGAACAAGTAATAATGGAAATAATCCTCCCCATTATTCGAGAAATGGTTGCCGAGACCAATTTGCAAGTTAAGACTGCTTTAGCTGGCGTTATGATGGCTCTTGCTCCTCTTCTTGGAAAAGCAAACACCATGGATCACCTCTTGCCTCTTTTCCTTGTACAATTAAAAGATGAAAATCCTGATGTAAGTATTACATATTCGGCCTACATTCTTTCCCTCATGCAAAACATTTGTGTTAGATTAACTAAATTAGTATAGTGGAACCTATCCCACATGTTCATGCGCATGAATGGACTAGATTTTCGGCTCGTACATTATATAAACTAAACCTTCGAAGTCAATCGCTATCAAATTTTGTCGTATGCGCCCGTTTATTGCATCTTATGATAGTGCAATTTTGAGACATCAAAATTATATCTATAGAATGTGCCACACAATTTTGGAGTT